CCCCCCCCCAAAAAAAACCCACACAAAACCAGAAACTGCTTTTTAATAATGTTATACAAAAAATAAAAATAACAATTGTCTGCTCACAGGGTAATAATCATTTATTTAATAATATATATAAAAAGAGAGCGCTAAAACAGTGGTTATGAAACTTTAGCAGCATCCAAATTTTCTGGAGGGCTTGTTAAAACATGGATTGCTGGGGCTTTCAGTCAAGATCGTGTAGGTAAATGGTATTCAAATCCTCCCACAACCACATCAAAATTACAACTAAACTACAGAGCAACCATCATCCAGAACCACCTGAAATTTGGCTGAATGGAAGTCCTACAACTATGGAATTAAAGAAGTCACATCAAGACTGGTAGGAGTGGAGCCACAGAACAAGCTGGTCCCACATCCACATGTGACAGATAAAAATCAAGAGGGATATCTCAGCTGTGGAGGTCTCCCCTGAAGAGCAAGGGGTCCCAGCCCCACACCAGGTCCCCCAGCCCAGTACTCCACTGCTGGGAAGAGAAGTCCCATAACCTCTGGCTGTAAAATCTAGTGGGGATTGTGGCTGAGTGAGATGGAGGGCTGCTGGAGTCCCAGGCCCTTTTAAAGGGCCCATTCACAGACTTGCTCAGACTCACTCCCTCTGAACTCCAAAGGCAACAGGGACATAGTGGGAGGAACTGAATTGTCTGACATCAGGACGAGAGCTGGAGAAGCAGTTTTCTCCCAGACAGAAGTGCTGGCAGGGGCTATTGTTCCTTTTCTGAGTGCCTTCCCCAGCCCCCCCCCCACCAGAGCCAGCAGGCAGGCGCTATATCAGAGTCTCCATCAACCTAGCTAACACTGTTCACCCTGCCCCGGAGATTCCAAGATACCCTACCCAACTTGCAGCCTCACCCAAGCCACCAGTGGCTTTTCCATACAAACGGCCTGTTTTGGCTCATCATTCAGACTTTCCTAAAATCTCTCAAACAAGCAGCATCTGGCCTCAGCATGCCCCATACCCCATGCTAAGTGGCCTCAGGCCCAGAACTAGCAGCAGCCAGCCTTGGTTCACAGCTTGGCCTCTCCTGAGCACCTCCAAGCCCAGCACAAGTAGAAGCCATTTGCAGATTGCTTTGTAACTCATGCTGGGTGACCCTGGGCAGAACATACACCTCCTGGGAGGCCCCAGAGCCAGCACACCTGGTGGAAAGCTTCAGACCACGTCGAAGCATCACCCAACTGCCTCCAAAATTGACATAATCAGCAGGCACGAAAGACCTGCTGAAGTAAGTCCTTCTCTATGGAGTGGGCCCCTGCACAGCTGATCCTCCACAATGGTAGCAGCCAGTCCTTGTAGCCAGTCAGCCTAGGGGTAAATCCCTCCCATTGATGTGCCAATAGCAATCAAGGTTCAACTACAACAGGAGGGTATACATAGTCAACAGTGGGGAAGGGGTGTGCACCTAGAGTTCCCAGCTCAGGTGAACAGGGAGGCTGTGCCCCTGGACCCTACAGGACACCTAGTATACAGGCCACTCTACCAATCCAGGAGGATGTGGCAGCTCTGCCTAATACATAGGAAAAAACACAGGATGGCTGCCAAAATGAGGAGACAAATTTGTCCCAAACGAAGGAATAGAAGAAAACCCCTGAAAAAGAATCAAACAAAATGGAGAAAAGCAACCTACTAGATGCAGAGTTTAAAATACTGATTATAAGGATGCTCAATGAACTTAGGAAGAACTTCAACAAAGAGATAGGAAACATAAAAATGTAACTAGAAAACAAAAAAGAACCAGTCAGAAATGAAGACTAAATTAACTATAACGAAGAAAACATTACAGGGAATCAACAGCAGAGTAGATGAAGCATTGGATCCAATCAGAAGAGATTCAGAAGTTACGAAAGCAGAAAACACCCCCAATTAGGACAGCAAAAAGAAAAAAGACAAAGAAATGAGGACAGTATAAGGAGCCTCTGGGACAACTTCAGGCACACCACCATTTTCATCATGGGACTGCCAGAAGGAGAAGAGAGAGCGCAAGAAATTGAAAACCTGTATAAAAAAATAATAATGAAAACCTTCCCTAACCCGGTGAAGGAAATAAGACATATAGGTCCAGGAAGTGCAGAGAGTCCCAAACAAGATGAACTCAGAGGCTCATACCAAGACACAGCATAATAAAAATGCAAAAGTTTAAAGACAAGGAGAGAGTCTTAAAAGCAGTAAGAGAGAAGCAGTTAGTTACCTACAAGGAAGCTTCCATAAGACTGTCAGCTGATTTCCCAAAAGAAACTTTTCAGACCAGAAGAGAATGGCAAGAAATATTCAAAGTGATGAAAAAGGAAGGACCTATAACCAAGGTTACTCTACCCAGCAAAGCTATCACTTAGAATTGAAGGACATATAAAGAGTTTCCCAGACAAGAAAAACCTAAAGGAGTTCATTGCCACCAAGCCAGTATTAAATGAAATGTTAAACGTTCTTCTTTAAGGGGGATAAAAAAGAATAAAAAATATGAAATGGCAATAAATACATATTTATTAAATGAATCTAAAAAAACAAAATAAAAAAAGCAGAACAGATTCATAAATATGGTGAACATTTTGACGGTTGCGAGACTGAAGAGGGGTTAGGGGGATAGGAAAAAATGATGAAGGGATTTAGAAGTACAAATTGGTAGTTACAGAATAGTTACAGGGATGTAAAGTATAGCATAGGGAGTGTAGTCAATAATACTGTATTAACTATATATGATGTCAGATGGGTACAAAATATATTGGAATGATCACTTAGTAAGTTATATAATGCCTAATCACTGGGTTGTACACTTGAAACTAATATATTATTATATGTCAACTGTAATTGAAAAATAAAAAATTATTTAAAATTAAAAAACCTCAAAAAACCCAAACATGGATTCCTGGGCCTTACCATTACAGTTTCTGATATAATAGGTGGGGCCCCAAAATGTGCCCTTCTAACAAGTTCCCATGTGAGGCTGAGGCTGTTGGTCCAGGAACTACTCTAAGAACCACTGTTACAGGACACTGAACAGAACTTTTAATTATTTTTTTGGAAGATGGTGGCGTAGGTAACATCTGTACCCGCCACTTCCCACAACCACATCAAAATCACAACTAAAATATGAACAACCATCACTGAGAACCTCCTGAAATCTAGCTGAACAGAAGCCCTACAACCAGGGAATTGAAAAAGCATCTAGACCAGTAGGAGGGGCGGAGATGTGGGCAGACTGGGGCTGAATCTCGGAAATGCAGTTGTGAGCCCCACACCCGATGCCGCAGTTTAAACCCGGGAGGGATATCTCAATGGTGGAGGTTTCCTGGAGGAGTGAGGGGTCCCAGCCCCACAGCACGCCCCCAGCCCAGGGCTCCAGGGCCAGGAAGAAAAATCCCCACAACTTCAGGCTGTGAAAACCAGCGGGGACTGTTGCTGAGGGTAGCAGAGGCTGCCGGAGCCCCAGGCTTTCCCCTTAAAGGGCCGCGCACGGACTAACTCAGATGCGCTCCCTCTGGGCCCCAGCACCGGGCAGCCGCTTGAAAGGAACCTGGGACATTTGGGGAGGAGCTGACTTGCCTGAAATTGGGGTGAGAGGTAGAGGGGCAGCTTCCTCCCAGGCAGAGGCCATTGCTCCTTTGGCGAGCCCTCCCTGCACACAGCTGGCAGGCAGGGGCCATATTTGAATCTCCAGCACTTGACTCACACCTTTGGCCCTGCCCAGGTGGTTCCCGGAGGCTCTGCCCCTCCCCACCTGCAAGCTCATCCAGGTCATTTCCAGTGGCTTTTCTATGCAGTGACCTCTCGAGCCTTATGCTTAGGATGTTCCTAAAATCTCTCAAACAAGCAGCAGCGCGCCCCATACATCTTGATAAGTGGCCCCAGGTTTGGCAATAGCGGCAGCCTGCGTTGGTCCATAGCTGGGCCTCTCCTGGAAAACACCAAGCCCAGCACAAGTAACAGCTAACTACGGTTTGCTGTGTAGCTCATGCTGGGTGGCCTTGGGCAAGGCACTGGCACAGGCTGACTTTGCACCTCCTGGGAGGCCCCAGAGACAGTGTACCTGGTGGTCAGACTTGACCACACTGGATTACAACCCTACCACATCCATGAGTGACACACTCAAGGGGTGCACTTGGTGAACACCAAAGCTCCACTGAAGTAAATCCTGCTCCACAGGGGTGTCTCCTGCACAGCAGCTCTTTGGCTGTAGTTGCAGCTGGTCCTCACAGCCGATTGGCATGGGGGTCAATTCCTCCCAGTGATGCCAACAGCAACCAAGGCTCAACTACAACAGGACAGTGCACACAGCCCACACAAGGGAGCACCTAGAAGGCCCAGCTCAGGTGACTGGGGAGGCTGAGCCACTGGACCCTACAGGACACCTACTACACCTGGCCACTCTACAAATTCCAGGAGACATAGCAGCTCTACCTAATACATAGAAACAAACACCTGGAAGCAGCCAAAATGTGGAGGCAAAGAAACATGTCACAAAGGAAAGAACAGAAGAAATCTCTAGAAGAGGAACTAAATGAAATAGATCCAAGCAAGCTAACAGATACAGAGTTCAGAATTTTGTTTATAAGGATGTTTAAGCAGACTATTAGGGAAATAACTGAGAAAATCGATAACATAATAAAGTACCAATTTGAAATGAAGGCTACACGAACTGAAATGAAGAATAATTTACAGGGAATCAACAGTAGAGTAGAGGACGCTGAGAATCAAATCAGCAATTTGGAACATGAGGAAACAAAAAACACCCAACCAGAAGAGCAAAAAGAAAAAAGAATCCAGAAATATGAAGATAGTATAAGGAGCCTCTGGGAAGACGTCAAGAGGCCCAACATTTGTATTATTCGGGCACCAGAAGGAGAAGAAAAAGACCAAGAAATTGAAAACCTATTTGAAAAAATGACAGAAAACTTCCCCTCCCTGGGGAAAGAAATAGACTTACAAGTCCAGGAAGCACAGAGGGTCCCAAACAAGAGGAACCCAAAGGAGCCCACA